GCCCTGTTTGGGTGAAACAGGGCCCTCACAGACTCTATGGGGCTAGTAAAGAGCCTGTTCATTCCTGGCTGGCAATGGAGTAGGGGGTACACAGGACAAGGTGGCACTGTGTGGTGCAGGCTATCCCACAGGCAGGCAGGCCTACCTTAGCCTGGCCTGGACCTGCCTTACACACAGCTGGTATCTTCCTCCTGCACAAGGCTGCCTTCAGCTGCCTCCTTGCACACTTTTCTGCTTCTGTGTATGGAGCAAGATGCTGACTGAGAAGCCCATAACAGTGAGTCAGTAAAGTCTTTAAAGCATTTAAGCTGGCAGTAGAAATACTGAGCAGCCTCAGCTTGATTGAAGCTCCAACAGAGCAGAGCAAAGCACAGTACAGCCCAGAGCCACCTGGTTTCTGATCAGGAGCATAACATCCTTCAGAGAGCTTTCTCTTAGCCCAGGGGTCAGCAACATTTTTGGAAGGGTGCCAAAAACGCCCATGACCTTGACTTGTAAGATGTTGGCATGCCCAGGACAGGTGGTGGGGGAAGCCATGAGGGGTCTATCCTTGTTGTGGCAATGCAGCCCTAGCTCCTTCCTCACCATCCACCCTGAGGCACACATGTCAAGCAAAATGCCTTTGAGTGCCACACACTGGCACCCCTGTCAGGGGTTGCTGACCCCTGTCCTAGCCGTAGCTGCTGCTGTTGCTACCACTGCTGTTCTTGCAACCCTAGCTACCTTTAATATTGCTACGTTGCAGGTAGCCTACTTTGAGTGTTTGTGCTAGGACAGGGAGAGCAGGACTGGCAGGGGTAAGGATTGGGGGCTGAGGTGGACTGGGGCAGAGGGAGCAGGGGGCAGAATGGTGCAGTGCATAGTCAGAGGCATCAGGGTGTGGGGTGAGTAAGGGGCCCCAGCAGAGGCGGAGTGAGCACAGCATAAAAGCATGGCAGCCTTCCAGCAGGGGTGCAAACCCAAGAAAACTTTTTACTGACAACGTCAAGCAGGGTTGCAAACCCAAGAAAACTTTTTACTGACAACCTTTTTTATTTTTTTTTTTACTATGGTTGATGTTAAACCCCTAAATTTGAACCCAGCCCTTCTGACTGGGAGCCTGGCAGCAGGGCAGGGCTTGGCAGAACAGTTACTTTTCCAATATGTAAAACATTTATTAGTAAAAACGTGTCAGAAAAAGAGTTTGACTGTCAGTAAAAAGCTTCCACATTGTCAGTAAAAAAAAATGTTCTTGGCTTGGTAACAAACACAGCCCAGGCCAGAGAGACCTTTTGATGCCTCCTGATAACTCCAGCCCCACTTTTCTCTCACCCCACAGATCCCTAGCTCTTACCAATGGATTGTCCCAGTCCAGGTGTTCCCAGGGGCTGAGGCTGGAGCCAGAGCCTTTCATAGTAAACCCATGCATGGAATTCAGTCCAGTGAACAAATGGGCTCCTGGGTAAAAACACATGCTGCAGTGTCTGGAGACCTGCAGGCAGAAACCTGACTCGAGGACAAAGCTGCACCAACCTCAGCAGCCTCTCTGTAGCTAGTTGTTCCAGAGTGTGACCACACACGGCACATCACTATTCCATGCCTCCACTTCCCCATCTGGAAAATGGGACTAATCCTTCCCTACCACATAGGGCTAATGCTCTAGGAGGTGCTCAGGTACTGCCAGGTGCCCTGTCCCTGACCTGCTCCTAGGTTTACTCTGCCTGTAAGCTTGAGGGGGTCTGGGTAGGTTTAACTGGGGTGGTATTTGCAGTGTGTGAGGCCACCAACTCATTCCTAGCAAGAACTGCCTCTTGCCTCAGACCCCAGCTTGGCCTGCTCCCGCAGCTGATGCTCCATCTCCTGTTACCAGGCCTGGAGACAGCTGCTATGTCCGGCTTTAATGCCGCAGATTCTGATACATACAAAAATATGCTGCTGTTGGATGCTCCCATTTCAGGGTCAGACTGTTTAGCTGCAGTCACTTCAGGACAGTGTCCAGTCTCGTTAGAGGGAACAGCATGTTGCCCTGGTGAAACCTATGTGTTATATGCAAACACAGGGGCCCATTAGCCCTGTCACCTCAATGTATGTGCCAGGGCTGACTGTAACCTAAAGCAGCAATCACATGCAGTCAGGCCCTGCAGCCACTGCCTCCCCTACCTGGCTCCAGCCCTCAGATCAGAGGCCCACTCTGCCCTGCTGCCGCACTGAAAGGCATCCTTGTGCTCACATTGAAAATACAAGGCTTCCTGAAGCCAGCTTGTTGTTCCCTGTCCTTGGCGGCTTGGATTTCAGCCTCCAGGATAAACAGCCACCTAGCATTGGCCAGTATAGAGGCATAGCTGGTTTTGGTTGGTTTAAAGGCCCTTCTGCAGCCTTGGCGCAGGTAACAGCATGTGGCCAGCCCCTGAGTGCTCAGTGATCATGTGTCAGGCTGCCCAACATCAGGAAACTGGCCTAAAACAAATTACACAGGTCAGATACTTGGTGGGGATCCCTTTCATTTTTCCTTTTGCTCTTGAGCCTGCACAAGCATCCCAGGCAAGTCTCATGCTTCTGCATGCACCAATGACAGCTAGCAGTGAAGAGTACTGTATTCAGCGTACTCCAGGAACTGACTTTGAGAACACTGAGTCGTGTAGACTTAATTAACAGGAGCTGGTAACACTGCACTGTAGCCCTCAGGCTGGCATGCCGGGCATCCTCCCTTCTCTGCACACACCACAAGGCAGAGAGCAAGCAACATCAAATGGAGCCTGTATTAAACCACCAGACCACAGCAGCATCAGCTCCTTTTGTTACCTTTCCTGTGCCCCCTAGTGCTCCATACTCTGTAATGCGTGTACTTGCTGCTGCACCAGTGCTGCCCAGTGGCAAAGCTGCCATATGCCAAGGAGGGATGGCCCACCTGATTTCTGGGGTGGGAGCTGAGTGAGGAGCAAGCAGTGACCAGTTGTATGGAGCAGGGCAGGGATCAACGCAATGACTGAACATGAAGTCACCCCTCTCCTATGCTCTGGGGTTTCACCCCTCCCCTTGCTGGAGTCACTGCTCCTAGGGGCCGTGCCCCATTTGAGCAGCAGCCTTCATCATGGGCACCTTGCTGGCAGCTGTTTCTCCATGTGTCCCTCCCAGGCCTCCACCAGGGCAGCCTCACAAGCTCTCTTAACCCCTCATTGCCCCTTGGACCATGCCCAGTGGGCTGGACATGCAGAGGGAACGGCTCTGCACACAGTACATGAGGAAATCCCTTCCGCTCTAGCCCAGCCCCACCCCATGTGCCAGCTGCCACCCCCCAGCTGCCCCCTGGGTCTTTTACCCAGTACCTTCTCCAGCCTCCCTGGTCATTGCTGCAATGGCAGCCCCCACTGGCACGGTCTTCAGGCACCCAGTATCCGTTCTGAAGGAGAGCCTAGCGGAGCAAGGAGGCACAGAAGAAGCTGTGGAGAGGCCCCTTGTCCTTCCCAAGGGAGCTGCCCAGGAGCCGCCACTGGTTCCTACAGCACCAGCTGCTCGGCTTAAAATAGGAATGTGAGGAACACAAGGAGGAGCTATAAATAGAGGTGGCATGAGCTGGGCAGTGTGTGGGGGGGGATGCAATGGGCTGTGTCAGGGGTGTGTCTGGGACAGACACAACTCTGGGTAGCTGAGGGGCAGAGGGCCATGGAGCCCTCCAGAGAGAGCTGGGGGTGAGAAATGACCTGCAGTGAATATATGGAGATGCCTCCCCTGCCCTATGGATGCTTCAACAGCTCCTGATCCCTTGGAAGCTGCTCTAGATCACTGGGCAAATGATGTCAATAGCTCATGTTAATACTACTGGCTACATTGGAGCAGTGCCTGGATTTGAAATAGTTAAACCTTAGCTCCCTGCGGCTTGAGCAAAGCATATCTGTCCCAGAGCACCAGTGGGCACTGGAACATGACAGAAAAGGAGTGGTTGTTCCCTTAACACTAGCAATTAGGATAATCTCCTGGGCAGTAAGGCACAGGGTCATAGAGACGTAGAGCTGGAAGGGACCTCCAGAGGTTATCTAATCCAACCCCCTGCCTGAGGCAGGATCATCCCTATCCAAACCATCGCATACAACCATAATCTAAACCCTACGTAAGACTACCCGCAAACCTGACACAACACAGATCTAGCCACAGGCAAAGCAGGAAAACCATGGCAGTCAATGTCCTGCGTCTATAAATGTTGTTGATACATGCTCAAGAAGTCCTGGGCAGAGGGCCACCCCCCCACTACAGAGGAAGGCTACAATCCCAACACCATACCAGTCTGACCATAGGGTAAAATTCCTTCCTGACCCCAAACATGGGGGTCGATCTGATCCTGAGCAGGAACCACTGGCTTTGGTCCCGGCAGGAGCATTGGCACACCCCAGTCAAAGTCCCCAGTCTTGGCTATAATCCAAAGCCTTAGCTCCATCCCCTGTATGACGACCCTCTGATTTTCCTCTTCTCCAGACTAAATAATCTCAACTTTTCCCTGTAAATCATGTTTCACAGACCTCTAATATTTTTTGTTGCCCTTCAATGGCTTCTAATTTGCCTACATCTTGAAGCAGTGCCTAAAACTGGACATAGCACTGCAGTGGAGGCCTCACCTGTGCCAAACAGAGTAGATGATTCATTTCTTTGGACTTGCAAGAGTCCAGTTAATACAGAACAGTATGATGCTGATCGTATTTTTGCAGCAACAGCACCCTGCTGGCTCATATTCAGCTTCCAGTCCTCTATAACCCCCAGGTCCTTTTTTGAAGTCTTGCAGCCTTGCCAGCATATATTTGCGCATGAGATTGTTCCCATGTGCAGGTCTCCACACTTGCCCTTATTGAATTTCATTCTGTTAGCCTTGGACCATTTCTCTAGTTTATCAAGGTCATTCTGAATCCTTATCCTACTTTCCAGGGTGCCTGCATCTTCACCCAGCCTGGCGTCACCTGCAAATCTACTGTCACTCAGTTCCATCCTCCAAAACATTAATGACAACACTGAAGGGTGCCAGATCCAGATCCTCCCTTGATACCTCCTCCCAATTAGACATTGCCCATTCAGAGGATTCAAGGCCAAAGTCTGACTTCTCCACACCACTCTCCAGCTGATGCCTTCAGCTCCTAATGTTCAAGTTGCTCAGACAGGCCTAAGGAACTGACGATTCATTTGGTCAGAGAGGACGTAGGGTGTGATTATGGTGTAGCTGCTGAA